CTAGATCATCTATAAGACACCTATCTAGATCATTTCCCTAACTTTCACATGACCAGGTTTTGTCTACACAGTTCACATTCCCACACTGGGACAGAACCTTCAAATTTGATGGAATTATAACACAATTTTAGCATGTATTTAAGCTTCATATATAATATCTCATGAACCAGTATCCTGTCAGTTTTTAAGCATATTATACCCAGATATAGATGTCTTGTGTTATAATCATAAAGGGTTAAAGAATACAGTGTCAAGTTCTGCTTAAGTTCAGTGATATGTCATTTCACTGGAGAGAAGGATTCTTTGTTGCTTCTTGTCATCTATGTTTCATCAGCTGCAGAGAATATATGGTGACAGGATGATGATGATAGACTGGGAAGAATATGGAAGGATCCAGTCATTGCCTACTTCAAGACATTTGCCTCGAGGGACTGAGAAAACCTATAAAATAATTCCAGTTAGAAAAGTTGATGATTCAAACCTGAGACCTCTAAATTATGAAGAAGAGCTATCACTACTCTACAGCATCAGGATTACTGAAGTTGTATCAGCACATACAGAAACTGAAAAACACTGATTCAATGACTGACTAGATGATCTAAAAATAAATATGAGCAATAACTTTTTGAATTTTTCATATTTACTGCTACAATATGCATCTTATGATGGTACATACAAATTTATTTCTTGACTCCATCACTGAAACTGAGTAAATTCTACATTCCTGTGCCTTACCTGTTTTATTTCATTGCTAACATTCAGGGATGACAACACTGAATTCTTGAGTGTAAGAGGTTGTGCCTCTGCATAGCACCTTAATGCTGCTTGTATGTGCTGACATGTTGTTGGAGTCAGAGGAGCAGTCTTCTCCTGCCAACACATAATTACCATATATTTCTATGTACAATCAGACACTACAAGACAGCTAAAAATTCCGAACTTAGAGTCTATGGTTTCAAAACACAGGTGTGAAAAAAGTGATGAAAGGAGTGAAAGAAATTGTTAGAACAGCCTTATGGCTACAAAGGATGTGAACATATCATATAAAAACAAATATGAGAAAAATTGTGTGATACTCTTGAAGTCAAATCTATGAAAACAAAGAACATTCATTTTTAGAGAATATCTGTTTGAAAGGAAGAAGCCCATGTCCAGGGTCCAAGATAATCCACATTATGCCAAGATCCACTAATGCTGCTGCAAAGAACATAATACCACAACTCCAATAAACTGTAATGAAAGAGAGCCAATATAATGACAGATGCTTACATGACATTTAAGAATGCTGGCATCAAATGATCTCTGACAAGTATCTACAAAGCACAGTGCAGATGTCTGTGTGATGAGAGCTGCTTCTGAATCCAATGAATCTGTTGAATCAGATGCCTGAATTACTGGAAGCTGGACAAAGCCCCGATAATCTGGCCCCTTGTCCCTCACTCTTACCGAGAATACCTAGGAAAGTCACACAGAAGAACATCAGTTACAAATGTTAACATCACATAACATAGGGATCATTAATGTTTCAGCAGGGCTCAACTACTTCCAACAGCTGACATGAAACAGAATGGTGCTTGTGAGTCACTTACATTGTGTCTATGATACCAAGCAACCATCCCACTGACTTAGCATTTTCTCACAATATAACACAGGAAAACAATAGATAAACCACTTTTATTTGTGACCATACATCACACCAGCAATTCTCTGAGCAACAAAAAATATGCACAGCTAAGTGCCATTCAATGTCTTATCAGTTACACCAAGTCACTATTATGCTCAGAAATTACACTCTACCACTACCTTTTTATTGTTAATACACAGGTATGTTTAGTCTGTATATGGACATTCCAATATTACTATTTACCTTGTCTATTAAATTCAAAGGTAGTTCCTACCTTTGGAGTAGATTTACCAAGAACATGAACAGTGATAAAGGAAATGCACATTCTTCAAAGAATGTGAGAGTTAAGGTTCTAGCAGCAGCAAAGCTGTTGATGTTCTTTTGGGCACCAATACCATATCACAACCCAAAACAACATCAATGTATTTACAGTGTGTTATGCCATAGTTATTTACAATGTGCAAAGTCATCTACAGGATATAATTTTAATATTAATATATACACATCATTACACAGCTTACATACTGTTTCCACATTCTTCTTTATATATTTATTATCACAGAGGACAGCAGGAAGTGAATGAACATCTAAACTAATGTCATAAACATGTAATTACATAAAAAAAATCATCAGCAGTCCTTACAAATTGGAAGTATTCTGTCTAACAAAGGCAATAATTCATAGGTGCAACATCTGATTGATGTGACCATTAATATGAATTGTTGATGCTGGTCTTTTGGGTTGTAATGATGCGCAGACTTGTTGGTAGAACATATTCTGGGCTGAAGCTGGAGGCAGTATGTTCTCTAAAATGACAGTATCTACAAACAAGTCCACATAACATTACAACCTGGAAGATCTACCAACATCTCCAACACCATGAAATCCTTGATCTTTAATATGAATTTACAACATAACTTTGTCACAACCCATGCTATGGTGAGTACCAATTACATATATATATGAAGAGGTTTGTTTAGGCTTATTATTCAGAAACTGCTTGTTCTACTGAGATGAACACCAATATGTTCTTAATCCCGGTAATTACAAATGTCAATACAAGGTCTGAAATCTTACCTTGTATAGTTTTTTATACAGATGAGAGCAAAAATTACTCCTTTGCTTAAACACATTCTGATTTCTAATCACTTAGTGACTATGACAACTTGTACATAACTATATGACATGTCAAACACTTTGTACTAAAACTAACCTCCTGTTTAAATTAACATATAAACCAACCAACAACCTGTATTAGAACTACATATTATTTGATGCCAAGTAAAGTGGTAACATTTGTATGAATGATGTATATATCACACATTAGCCTCTGGGTGAAAATAATAATGAACCACTCTTCTGACATTCTAACTAATAATTATAAGAGTATCATCTCTGGAACTGTTCCATGCTTGATCAAGTACTTTTCAACTCAATGTTAACACAATTTACCTGTGTTGTGGTGCCTGTTATAAGTTTGCAAGCCTCTGTTGACATTTTCCTCTTCTCTCCTCCTTCTTTGAACACAACATCACAGGCTCTATTCTTACAAATAAGCCCCCGAGTTCCATTGTATGTGCCACACTTGGGACACTTTCTTACACCCCGCAGAGTGGCTCGACCCAAATCTGACAAAAGGGCTTTCAGTTTATCATCATTCGGCATATTTATTACCTAATCTAGAAACAAATAACATTAGATACATGTCAATAATTGGGCCTTGAAAAACTGGAACCAAAATAAACCACATTATTAATGGCTTGAATATGCTTGGTACAAACCAATAGGCTCAGTTTCTTTCTTGACACATTTCCATGTTTCCTTTCTGCACGAAGTGCAAAAGAATACGGTCTACAATAAATTAAAAATTTGGTTTGCATTCAATGTTCACCAACAGCATCTTTGTTTACTTCGCAACACACCATTAAATGGAAATGCACGGAAGCACAGGTGATCAAACTGGTGGCAGTGAAACCTGAGTTCATTTTTCAGTTGGACTAGAATTTTCTGTAAATCTTCCTTTTGTTAAATAAAATATACTATTTTGTGAAACAAATTTTTCTGGCATCTGTACTCTCCATACAAGGACCATCAAGAGCTAGATTATAGCTTCTTTGTTTTTGTTTTTTCAGGGAAGGGAAAAATCGTCGTGAAGTTCGACCAATCGAACAATAAAATTACACGCAACTTCGTACCACGTATTTGACGATACGACCCGTGGTATACCCTAGTAAATGATTAGATGGTTTTATTTACGCAACAAAGCTGTTGTTTCATGTCTGCGTATCATTTGACTAAATGGACCATCTCACCTGTGGGAGTAACACAGACAAAAAGTATAGATTATCATTTCAGAGTGCATATCATGGTGTCCACAGTAGAATCCAATGAGGATATTACTGACAGACTACCGACGTATACGCCATATCATTCTGCCCATCGTCTGGCATTCGAAATTACAAAGAATTTAGTAATCCCGAGAGAAAAACACCAGCGTTAGAATCCTTTAAAATTTACTCACACCATTCTGTTTTTGCTGCAAGCCTACAGAGGCGTCCCTTCATCTGTTGTTATACTATAATTACAATTTATATTATGTACATCCCATGTATGCTTCATAGTACAAGCCAAGCATGGAACGTATAGTGTGAATATGAACCCTTTTTAAAAAAATAACGTTCGAAAACGAAATTAGACTGCATAGTAAGCTTATTTCTGTTATATACCAAGGTTATCACTCAGCTGATGGCGACCATGCTTATACATTGTACTTATGCTACGTATTACAGAATTTGTTAGGAAGAACTGCATATTGTAAATAATGAAAGACAGTAATGGCTGTAGAATTCACTCAGAAGGGGGAGTATATTAAACAGTTCTCTGCAGGAAACTCTTTACTTAACACCTACCATAATTTTAATGATTTTGTTTTGAATGATAAATACTTTCTTGCTGTCTGCTGAGCTTCCCCACAAGATATGGTAGGCTGGAAATAAGGTGAACAATTTTGAAATATCTACTCTCAGCAGTGGGGTGACTATAATGGCAAAACATACTGAACTGAGTTTCTGGATAACATTTTAAAAGTTTGTTTTTTATCCCAGTCTAAGTTACAAATTTGTTAACTATAGTTGTTAATGCTTCAATTGTTTTATTATCATATGTTGTTTCTTGCCTCTACAACCTGGTTCATCATAACCTGTATTAAAATTGAATTTAATGAAGTTTGTCTTGTAAAAATTCAATGTGAATTTATTGGCTTTAAGACAGCTGTTCAGATTAGCAGACATCATAAATAGAATCGATAAGTGACTGACTACAGAGTAAACATAAGGGAACACTTATCTGTGTAACATGCCATAGTCATGAACACCGATACTACATTCCCTACAGGAAAGATTATAACCTCAGCAGCCAAACTCTTCTTCCTCTTGGTGTATAAACAAACATTTTATTACAACAAACCATAATAACCATTAAAAGGGTATTTTGTGATCAGAAAATCCTGATGATAGTAGCAGAAAGTTCCTCTGAAATGTCATTAACCTTCTACCAGACATGACAACCAACTTAAATCTGCTTATAGGTTTCTCCAACAAGAGTTGTTAATTTCCAGTATTCATATGTCCAGCCCAGTGTTATTTAATAAATAAAAAGATAAGTACTGTCAGTAATATGCATGCAATAATGGAAAGTAAACACTCTTTATTTCCAAAACAACTCCAGAAATACACTGTTATAATTTTGCCATTTGACATTAAATAATTCTGCAAGAGATACATCATAAGAAGCTATACACAAAATAAGTCACTAAGATAGCATCACTTTCGTTTGGAATGATTTGTAGACCTTTAAGATTAGCAGTGTCAAACAAAACTTATATGAGATTCTCATTTTGGTGATCTTGCAAATTTGCAGAGCAGACAAGGATTGAAATGTGGGAAGCTGATCAGAGAAACAGTAAACACATGATTTCTGAACTATCTTGTGTATTTCAATCTCCAATCTGAATGTCAGTTGTGGGATTAAGAATGAGAATTACAGGAAACAGTAATTGAAGACAATGGATTCTGGAAGCTGACCAGCTCTTTAATGTTCAAAATTATTTCTTTACATTGCCCAGAGAATACAATGTATTTGGACATACATTATTCTTGAAATTAAGCAATAATATTCTGTGAGACCTCCATTAATCAGAAATTCTGTACCATGTACTTATGATATAAACAGTGTAGGAAGGGAATGCAAATACATAAAAAAATCATAATGGCTGTAGTCATGAATCAAAATGGAGTACATGCAATTTCTTGGTGCTATGAAGAAATACAGAATATTTGCTTTGTGCAACATTTAGAGATTGAGAACTCTAAAGCTTTTCAAAAAGTGGAAGAGGCCAGACCATATACGGGTGTGTGCTTATGAAATAATAATACTGTCAGTGTGCCCCCTTTCAAATTTTGGTTAGCTGATTGATTTTTATGAAACTTCGCATGAACATTATGCCAATGAAGGCCATCTCAACTGCTTATCTTTTAATTTATTATAATCAGCAGTTTGTAAAGTGTGGATACGTGAATGTTTTCTTTGGCTTAACAGTGGTAACCAGCACCCCCCAATAGAAATATACAAGATCATAAAAAAAGACATGATAGTTTTAAATGCCTACATTTACAGATGTACTGCAATGACATAAATGAATTTTGTGTCACAGAACACGTAATACAGAATATCAAAAAGATTACTGGAATTTAAGAAGAGTGGAAGATGACACAGGGGCAGAACATGCACATATCAAGTTCAATGTAGAAAGGAAGGGATGTAGGTTTGATTAAATGCATGAATGGGCAGATAGCGACAGTTGGAGACTCCTATGCAAAAGTCAATCTATAAGTGTAGAAATCACTCAAGGAAGATTAATAAAAAATGTTAGTTGGTAGTTCTTTACTGGTTAGTGACACCCACTAGCAGGAAATTCTATAAGCAGCAGTAAACAAGACAGATATATACATACACTGCTGAACAGCATGTTTTGTATGAAAATATCCCATCAAAATTGCAGTCAGTGAATCATGAGTTTAATGTGGCATTTGACAGCAGAAAAGATGCAGTGAGATCAGTGACTGAGAAGTTCAATCTGTGAAGCAACACATTTTTGCCACTGTTTTAAAAGATTTAATGCTGAATGCTGTCCAAAACTTTCTTTGAACTCTCATGTTGAATGCAATGAACATGTTTCTTCCCAAATAGAATTTCCTGTGCTTTATTAATGTTGTAATATCACAACTAGTGCTGTAAGTGCAATACATCAATAAATATAGGCATTTAAAACTACTATGTACCTTTTTGATAATCCTGCATAATCTTTCATTCTAACAATCTTTTAAGTTTTTTTATGGTATAGCACCTTATTTTTGTGCTCATATTACTATGAATTCTGTTTGTGCATATAAATACTGATGTATTCATGATTTTTTTTCTGTCATAAGTTTCCAATACCTCCATATTCATATGACACAGTAGGTGACCCTGTAACATGATCTACCGGTTTGTACATGTCACTCTGGAACATTAAAAGAGGAAGTTAACAGAGAATTTCTATTTCTCAAGCCTTAACTGATATATATGGCATATGAAAAATAATTCAGTATCAATGAAATAATAATGTTTGTACTGTGAGGTGCTTTGTATGCCTAAAAGAACACAATGTTTTGGGCAGCTGGTTGAATGCTTAAAATATGAGAACATACTGGATGGTATACCAAAATGTCATTGTTTTTGTAACTGATATCTGGCTTTCCACCTCCAACTTATAGTCACTACTAATGTATTATACTTCTTTAAATTAAATATATACTATTGTATAAGCTCACAACCTGCAATAAGAAGTCACACATCTGTGTAACTGTTCAAGCGGCTTGTTCTTTCTGACTTCTTCATTCCATCTGATCATTTGAAGAACTGAAATGAATAAGAATATAAATATTACAGCATTGTTTCTGGAATGAATGCATGTTGACTTCTGGTAGGAAATGTTTACATTTACATAGGTGAAGTGCATATAAAAATATAGTCAATTGTGGTCTTCTGCATTGTGACACCATGTAATCTTGCAGGTGGTTACCAGCATTATTCCAAAATGTTGGTTAACTGCCTACAAGAGCACACATAATCACAAACAACATCTTCACCACTATGAGAATCTAAAATCTCAGATACTTACAAGTTTGTCAACCTTCATTTGCTATTTAAAATATTCTTTTTAAAAGTTTTATACACATATACAGGGAATATAAAAAAACTGAGTCCAAAATAAACAGTGATATATATATCCAAGCACATTTCATCTTGTAGTCTGGGTTGCATCACCACAGGACCGAATGAATGACCTGATAAGAGAACAGCATTCAAATTGAGACTCAACATTATACAATTATTTACAGTTTATTTAATAAAGCTTTCAGCTCAGACTATACAGCAACAAATGAGAGAACAATGATAAGTAATAAACTGGAAAGAATGTGGAAAGAAGTGAGTATGGCCTAATTTAACTAGACACTTGCCTGGAAGGACTGTGGATAACTACATAGAAACCTCAGATGGAACAGCTGGCCTCCAGGCCAAAACTTAACTTAGGACCTCCTGAATACAAAGCAGGCATTGGGGGGGTTTAAATCTGCATACATTCTTAATTTCAGAAGTAGAGCTTACATTTATATTGCTCAAAATTTAAAAAGCAACAGAAATACTTTAAAGCCCATAAATATTATTTCAATAATTTGCACTGATATTACATTCCTTAAAATTATGACAAAATGTTCAGTAATTCATATCACTTGTCCTCCACTTACACTAATAACAAGTAAGAGCATTCTGAGAACTTTCTGATGATTTTTTTTCTTTGTGAGGCATCTCCATTTTATGTAGGTTGTCTAATACAGAATTGGATAAAACAGGAGTGTTTGATTTTGATTAACTAAAATAATAAAAACTGACTACTAATTAATTTTAAGCCTCTCAACCATCAGCTATACTTCGAAAAATATACTTGCTTGGTTTTATTAGGGTTAATTAAATTACATCATTAAAGCCTACCTTATTTCTATGGTAAAACAGAGCAATAGCTTTTCAACATAAACATGAGATATGACAGTCCCATGAACGTGATGTCAGAAGAACCTAAGTTTGAATATTGTATGAGACATTCTATCATGTCAAGTTTGAGTTATTGAATTTAACTTTCAAGAGTAAGAAACTGGATCTTCACATGCAGTGGAATGTGTGTTATGTGCATTAATCCTGTAAAATCAGAAATCAGATACTAATGGGCAGTTTTATTCTTTAAATCATACACATCACACACAACAAATACCTGATTGCAGGTCCTTCATAGACTGCAACATCATTCCAGTACTCTGGTGGACTAGAAATATGTATTAGTCTTGTCTCATTCGTTACATGCCTGGGGGTTTCGTCATTCTGCTCCTTAAAATAATGGCATGATCGTTCTCCAAAATCACTTGTATCATAGGGTGGTGATAAAATATCAAGAAAAGCTGCAGTTCCATCCACACTGCAAATTTCATGTAAGTTGCGTTCAGTAGGAGTAAGAAAGCATGAATCATTATTCTCAGTCACAATAACTTCAGGCATTTTTATTGCAGAAAGTGTCAGATTTTTTGACGTGTTCTGAGGAAACAAACGCTTCCCACTAGCTGACGGACTCACACTATCTGTATTCTTCGGAAGTAAAGTATAGCTTTGAATTTTGACAGTACCTGCAATCACTTTTAAAATTCCATACATATGAGGGTGGTCATGCAGAGGTAACTTTGCACCGGATTTCACAATGAAAATACCAATAGTAACATAAGAATCTTCATAAACGCTAATATAAATCACTGGTGGTTTGCAATCCCCAAGCTCGGCAGCTTGTAGGTTGTCTAAACTAAAGTTGACATCTGCTGCAGTAAGTTGATCTGCCATCGCCTTCAACTTTGCGAAATTCTCTTCAAATATCAGCATTGTTGTCGGTCTCTGCGAGAATGTACGCAATGCGTGTCTTACAACTCTTTCAATAAGTGACGCCATTTCTATACTGCTACTGCCCACAAACACCTTTCTTGCTTCTATTCACCCCAATGTCAATCACCATACCCTACCAAAGGGTAAGATAGAACAGAAAATGTCACCGAAATCAAAAGAAACTGCGAAAAGCGGGAAACAAAACAGGCAAGATAAACGAGACTGAACTTAAATAATTTCACTTCAATTTTGAAAACGTACTTCCACCCAGCACAAGTATTGACCCATAAGGACTCACAACAGGGTCGCAAACCTAACAGTAGCATACCATTTCGCAAGGTTAATACGTTCACATTTCTGTGCTCCGTATCTCCCGTCACTTGTTGAGTCTTCGTACGAAGCGTTGATAGATGGCAGTAGCAATAGTTGGTGTTTTGTCCGATGGGCACTGTACGTCCCTCTTCCACTGGTCGTTTTCCGGAATTCCCAATAAAAATTATGTATGCGCCCCATTGCTGTGCCTTGCGTGCTACATGCCCACCCCATCATAACCTCCTAGATTTCGCTGTGCTAGGTGACCTGTACAATTCACACAGCTCCTCATTATGCAATATTCTGTATCTATGTTAAATCCAAATTATTATTCTTTAAAAATAACTGTATTTGTTCTATACTATACCCAGCATGTCCTGCACTACTATTGGATGCAACACCACAAGCAAAGCAGCAAGCCAATTGTTCTCCAACCTAAGAAAAGTCTCAAGTTTCACTTTACCTGTCAAAGATGTGGCCCTAAAAAGACGAGACATTTACAAAATATTCTGCGAGTGTGATACAGAATATTATACAAACCAAGTGTTCCACTGTGATTAGGATTGTGAAGCACCAATGTCTCCACCAACTGGTTAAGTATGCCATGGCAGAGCACAGTATGAAATGAATCAGGACTATTACATCCAGCTACATGACACAGTATCCCCCCAACCTTCCAATCAAGACACAAGGCCTAGATCAAAAGGGAAACAATGGTGATCAAGTTCCACCCTAACAATACAAACAGTGAAAATGGTTTTTCCGTGAGCTGGCCTTGGAAGCCTCTCATTTGTACCCTGAAGGAATGAAAGAAGGCTCTCTCCAAGGACAAGGCCTACAGTTACAGGTGACCTTACTTTGTCCATAGCCATCATAAGGGTCTTCCTTCACAATTGTACTTTTCAGTGCCACTTTGAAAGCACCCTATTCCCATTGACTGTTCTCCTTCTATATAACTGACCCATCCTGGCTTGACTCATTTTCACACTGAAGATGGAGGCTATGGTAACCACTTACAATATACAAGGTGTCACAATGCAGAAGATCACAGCCAAAATTATCACTGCCATGTAACCTGAAAACTCTCAACACCTGTTGAATCATGTGGTTTATATTATTTTAGCTACTACAGCCAACCCTCCCATGTTACCTCCATTTTCTTTGTGGCAAGATCATGCCAGAGCCTGAACAGTGGTACATCTGTAGCAACTGAGTTCATAAAATGTAGAATGTGCATGGTAGGGAGTGATTCATTCTGCTACTTGCCAACTTGACTGTTGATAAAATGGAGCATTCTGACATGGCAGAGAAAATGAAGTGATACATAACTAAAGGTCAAACAACTGTTTCTAGTATGTCTACATATAAATATTTATTTACCATACATGGTATTAGATTTGAAGAGAGATCATAATTACTCATACTGAGCATTAGCAATTAAAAATTATGCATGAAGATGAATGCATCAGATGTATATCGATCTTTCTCTTCCACTTCTTAGGAGTGCAGCAATCATCCAAAAATCACCAGGTCCTCTTCAACCCATGGCCAATTGCCTCTCACTCACTGCAAAAGGGAGATAAGAATAGAAGTACCAATGTTCAACACAAGAGATCAATTAGAATAGCTGGTCTGCTGTCTGGAAACACACCTGTGTTCTCACTTCCAGACCTTGATGACCCCATCTCGTGATCCAGATAGTAGGAAGCATTGTGATGCTTGGCACAATGCAATTTCACTGATCCAGTCATGGTGCCCTGCTTGTGGCTGATCAGGACCTGGCCTAGGAGACTCCTCCCCTCCTCGAATGTTAGATCCTTGACCTGCACGAGGCTTTACAGGCACTTCAAATATTACATTAGTGCCATCTATCACACGTGACCTGTACAAATAGTTTTCATGTAACAAGAATCCAGACTATTAGTAAGAGCAGATGGTTATAGTGAAGAAAAATGGAAATGGCATGGCATTTATTACCCATAAGCATTTTCAGAAAACACATTAATGTATAATTTCATATAATACATGTTATGATGAAGTTCTCTTTAATTAATAATTGAATAAGAAACAGCTTGACACTAAAGATGAACCATTTGGTTTATCTTCAGAATTATGGAGATACAAAAATAAATCAGAGTTTAAGTACATATTTTTGGACTTTTTTACATGTGGAAATATAAGTCATTAGATGGAATTAGCTATATGCCCAGTAACCGGTCATTCCATTTCAGTTTTTATATCAGAAATTTGTGTAATTTGTAAAGTTGAAGGTTGGTTAAGTAAATTCTTGTTTTGGCCTTTGTATTAGAATATTGGTATAATAATGTAATACCTTCATTATGTAACACATTCTGAATGCAAAATTATACTACGTAGGTTGGGAAACAATGTGTCTGATTCCTTGTTTGCACAGTGGGCTGCAACCCTCGTGATACTAACGTTGGTTGGTGTTAACACTGAGAACTAATTGAAAGATTGTAAATATGTATAAAGAAAGCTGGGTTAAACCCCAGCATACCTGTGCCAATGAATGTAAAATTAATTTAATATGTAGCACACATACATGTAAAATTGTTTTGTAAATGAATCCTCCCTCTGGCATATTTGGTATGTTTTGAAACCTGATAATGGACGACAGTATGGTTGCTGCCAACCTGAACTAAATCACCACTACATCTGCCTTACATCTACATAACAGATCATGACTGAACCTGCATTACTTCTCTGAAGACTTACTTGTAAGCCACTGACGTAGAACCTAACGAATCATTAGCAGCTGGAACTGCAAGGTATGAATCTGATGGAGTGTCCAGATCCCAATATCGCAAGCGCATGTCTGTACCCCCAGTTAAAAGGAAGGGTGACTGGTCTGTACTGCTTGCATACATTGCACATACACTGTGACTGTTTGTCTGCAAACCAAGATGCCACATGATGTTCAGGTAAAGGTAATGTGTTCAGATGGTACCTAGTTCAAATCCATAGTACCCTAATGGGGTTATTTCACATTTTACTCAATGACACTATGCAAGTGTATGCTTCCTTCCAAACATCTTCCACAGATTCACCATTCTTGTTCATACCCACACCTCATTCATATTATTTAAGTTACACAGTTATACAATCTGAAACAACCTAGAATTGAGTCAGTTAAGAGAATAACTTTTGACTGCATCCTAACATTGCAGCTTATGTGTTCTTAATCTCCAGTGATCACAAGTTAATGGCCAGCTTCATGTTCCAGCTGTCTTTATTTGCATAGAAACAGCCTGTTATCCAGCGGACATAACACTGGGTAATTATTGGAAATGTGATAATGGACATAAAATATATATGAAGGTGAACAAAGAAATCCAAAAATCCTTACTGAAAATCAAATACAGTTCATAGTCAATAAACAGAACAAGCCATCATGGCTCATTAAGAATAACTATATTAATCATAATATTCATAACTATTACAACAATTATATTTCATAGATTTTTATAATAATTATAAAAGTATAATCATAGAACGATATTAACTGTTCAAATATGTACGTATAATATTGCTCCCAAATTCTTGCAGCACACATTTTACAAGACTGATATGATTCTTAAGCACAAGTAGGAATGACTTTGGTATGACACTACAAAAGCCTATCTCTTTGCAGTTATTCACATTAGTTATCAGGAGCTAGTCTGATCAGGTCTAATTTATAGTCACAAGAATTTGGGTGCAAACTGAATGGAACTCACAGTGGTGTGTGTGAGAGGGGGAGAACTGCTTGCCCACAAGACAGTCTGCCTGCAGTGTGTCTCCAGGTTCCAAACAGATACCTCATTGTTTCCATGCACAGCAGACATGACACAAGACTGTTCTGTCGGATGGCATATCAAGCGCCGTATCCGAGTACCTGCTGCTCACAAACAAACCTACATAATTTATTCATTGTATAGATGTGAAATTAAGGCTGTATGGGGAAATAAAACACCAAACAACATCTCATATTACTCAACAGAATAGCAGATGATCACAGAGGAATATCATCTTGTATTGGAAGCAAGAACAAACACACCATTGCCAGACTAGCCACAAGGAATTTTAAATGCTGAATTCTAAATGTCTACTGATCAAAACTGCCTACAACTTTGTACAGAATTGGAACCTGTGAACCCTTTCTGTTCAATAAGCAATTAGAATTCTGAGAAGTAATGATTTGTTCAGCCTCAAGAGCTTTCTTGTGTTCTGAAAGTTACTATATCTTAGACTTGTTTATTTTAAGCATTATTATTGAACATCTGTTCATAATATTCAAATGTTTATGAAGAGCACTCTGCATTAGAAATAAGAAAACTCTATGAAAGGAAACTGGAATTGAATTTATTACAATGAAAAGTAACAGACTGCTACTTCAGTACCTACTGGCAGAATTGCAGTCCACAGATCAGGAGAAAATCCCTGCTAGGAATTCGATATACACGCATGCGCAAGATTTCGCGGTGAGTGACGACCGATCCTAAAAGCATTCGTTCCACAACCATTGAACGAACAACAGACGACAGGCTTTTATGTGTTCTAATGGGTACAGCTTTAAGATTACCTCACAGCGGCACAGTGATTTAATCTAGAATATTATCGCAATACCCGCAGAACACATTAAAGGTGCACTTACTACATGCTACTCTTAACTGCTTGATGTTTTCAGTCTGTGTGTAGTAGCGTAAAACTCTGACGTATCACACTTCCCACCAATAGCACCCCTCTAGTCCAGCTGATAAGTAACATTCCCCTCGCACCTCACCAGAAATGACTTCACTCAGCAGGGTTTTTCTCGTGATCTGTGGACAGTAGTTTATTTTTTTTATCAAAACACCTCTTTGTATAAGTTCATACTGCATGTTCATGTACTCACAAACTGGATGATCAATGGTTGATATGGGCAGTTGGAAGCGCAAGTCCCAGCAGATGTGGAAGCCACTGCTAGTACCAACTGCCAGCCAGCTCTGATGTGGGTCCAGGCAGAACGAAGTGATCAGTCCTGTTACATTTCATACATATTCTGAAACTACATCACCTAAAAACATAATTCAGACTGCAATTGCAGGTTTGGAATAAATGCTCTATGTTTCAGATTGATCAATTTTGTGAAGATATGTAAGACTTGATAAGGTAGTAATATTCAAATATCACTAGACATTAGTTATAAGAACACTACTAATTTAGTTAACCTCTGTATTAAAACTTCTGAAGGTTTTCCTTTACCAAAAGCATGAATCCTGTTGAAAGACAGGTGTCATATTTTTCCACTCTTTGAGATGAGAAGTAGGTGCTCTATCTACATTTACATACATTTTGTTATATGGCTTGTGCATCACCACTCTATGAATGGTCACTATTTATTGGAATAATGTCCAAATCACTTTCTTCCGCACAAAAATTATCACCAGTTTCTGCAGTTGTCAATAAAACGGAAATTTGGTCACCTGCAACTGCACACGATCTAACTCTGTATGCCACTTTTTACTATCCCTGTGATGGCCAAGATCAGGTATGTATAGTGTAGGGCAGGCATCAGCAATCTTTTTATTACTGTAGGTCAAAATGGATATTCATGTTTTGCCAAGGGCCAAAGAAAAAGATTAATAATGTCACAGACAGTAAGCAGAACTGTATTCATAAAATTAAAACTTCATTTTTTAAGACCACAGTGGTTTTCATATTGCTTTTTTTAAGTTTCATATAATTTGAACATCAGAACACTGTATCTTTGTGCAGTAATGCATTTTTAATGTTACAGGTGTACTACAACATTTTTGTTTCATTAAAGAACTTCTGTAATTGTTTGCCCTTACATTCAAATAACACACATACATTCATATCAGTGTTCCTGAGTTGCAGACATTTTTTGCTCATCTTGCACTGGATAATTCCAAAACTGTGTGACCAGCCACATAAAAAGTTTGTGAAGGCCACATGTTCATGGACTGCAAGTTAATGACCCCTGGTGAAGGTTATTCCCTCTGCAAGTGCATCAGTTTTCAACTCCCATACATGGCATACGAAGGCAGAAGAGAAGGGCCTGACTTAAAATTAATCAAATTTATGATATATCTGGTGAATCAGACTGCATTCAGGAACTTAGTTTGGGAGATACATATTTCTAAAAGCCACATCCATAAAGATTTGGGCACAGTATGGATACCATAATAATACTTAAAAATTATTGTAAAGGCCTTTCCTATTATAAATAAGGAAAGAAAAACTTAGGAGGCCAAATTTTAGAAAGTCCCTAAATAATTATGAAGGAAAAAATTATTCCTACTGCACTTATATGATACTCACCTCGCTTTAAGTCACTGTCCAGTTTCCATGCTGTACCAGGTGACCTTAAGTCCCACCCCACTATTGATCCATACATGGTTGCATACACTAGCACAGACTGAGCCCCTGAAACAAGCCATCACCCTTGGTCGATGCTTTACAGTTATCATAACTTCAGCATCAGCAACTGACAACTGATGGTCAACTATTGGTCTATTTACACAAGTTCATGCTTTTCTGGAATTCATTAACTTCAAAACCTGCTACAAGCATGATCAAAAAGTCATACAATCCATATTAAAATACTTACTGATGGATGAAATCCAATAAAATTTAACTGGGTTAATAAATACACAAGACTGCTGTGAGCCCACAGAGGTCATGTCATATTGTAACTCACTCATGCCAACCCATTATGTCTTTCAACAGTCAAAGTGCAAGGATGTCTTTTTCTCAAGTGGAATGAGTGTTCACTGTCAAACACCACCCAGCATCTCATTCTTATGTAACTTTCCGGAATGAGTTTAGGGATACATTTCCCAATTCTCCAGTGCCAGACAAATTGACAATATCTCAACCATTTCCATGACACAGGATGTGTGCAGGACAGAAACCATTCTGATCTACCCTTGGTGTTCAGTACGATAGTTTGCACAATATCCATCAAACTCTGTTACCACTCTCCATGAAAGTCAATGAGAAAACATCTTTTCAGAGTGATTATCCTATTGAAGAGTACAAATAGAATATGTGTCTGGAATGGGTTGCTTGACTCCTTCATTCCCTGCATATTGTCATTAAACCAACCAATGTCCAAAATACATCAAACAGGATACCACTTATTATGTGTAAGGTAGGTTCAAATACTGTACTGGAGCTGCTGTTTTTTACTTCACCCATAGTATTCTGCAGATAATCTACTTAGGTTAGGTAATGTGGTTGTTTCATAGCATTCTCTCTCTTTCATTTCAAGATCAGGAAATCACAATTACAGGCGATCTATGGGATATACTATGTAGTACATGATGGAGGATGCACCATGCCAGCAGTACTGTTCTATGGTAAGCAGTATCTGATGGTCACAGAAGACTTGAAGAGGTCTGGTTGAAAAGGTTGCTGTCCAATGAATGAAATACATTAAATTTAATAAAGACTCTACCTCACCAAACTTTATCAGTGTTTGATATGTATGAAATTCCCACAATCAGGAATAAGTACAAACTGAAAACCTAGTAATGTGCCCCAAACCTGCGTCCAGGTAGTTTATATCAACTGCAAAGCCATCTTCCTGTAGGTCAAGCTGTCTGGACTGCAACACTGACATCTTGTTGCTATTGGCCTCAATTCTGCAACAGAAGTATGCATGCACCAAAGCCTGAATTTAAAAGAACTCAAAGCATTCCAGAAAATTATCATTAGGCCTACTGCAAGTTTGTTCATATCAGTAATTTGCTACATTTAGTTGCAAAATTTCTCCACCTTTCTGAGTCTGTATGGGACTTTCTTTTCATAAAAATGTGCTTCTGTCCTTACTTGAATAATTTTAATAGTACTTTCAGTAGTCTCAAGGTTCTCCATCTAACTGTACCCTGTGTAATGGACTGTCTACTTAAGAATGATTTGGTGAAGAGATACACACCTGAGTACAAACACAGAACCACTGAGTGAAGCAGATGCTAATGACAGGTTATTCTCACAGACTGCCAGCCCCACTAGTGGACCAGCCTGACGATTAAACACCTGGCGGGAGCGGTTGGCAATGTTGCGGCCCTCCATCTTACCACAGTCCCACACTCTAATACACCCATCACTTGCACTGCTTGCAAACAGTGGTGTTTCTGGAATGGCCACAAGTCTGCAAAGAAATCATTCTGTATCATGAAAATCAAATACAAAGTACATTGTGGTCTTCTGGGCATTTTGCGTATTGTCAACTGCAGCGCTGCCACTGATTACCTACAAGACCTCTGTAAAAAGGGGAAATAAACTTTCTGAGTTGCTCTACAGAGTGCTGCAATCCGCGTGTTTCTATCTGCCGTAGGTTTTGCTTCGATTGTTTGTTAATGGGGGAGATTTCATGTGGACACTCTGTATATTAAAAAAATAAAAGAATGCAAAACCAGCAAATTAATGAAAATATCCTCAGCCCCATAACCAATCTGTAAATTTGCAAAATAAAGTAAAAAGGTATCCTCATGCCTGTTCATAAATAACAGGCATACTGTGGCTGAGATTCCATGAAATCTTTTACTTATACTGGTAATATATTAATAAAATTGCACTTCTGTCAACATTCAACAATTTGGACCACCATTTCATTTGAACTTCTACATCTGAAGGACAGAATTGGAAGTGGAGAGGGGATATTATATTCTGTAAACAAAACACACAATTCACTTTCCCAATGTTGTCTTCAGTAGACAATGATGACCAGGTCTTAATCTGTTGTTTTTCTTTGTTGTGAGACTAACAGTGACATACCTGCTGATAGCTCCCCTATGTTCATGCAAATGAGCCACCAATGAGCCTCGTAGCCTCCAGCTGGGTGGTGGCATTGGTGACCTCCATGCTACTTGCTCTGCCCACTCTCTGCCCCTAACTGCTACAGTGTGTAGTTCCTGTTTCCTGCGAGACAGCTCCTGTAGTTCTGACCGGCACGGAGCCGATCGATCTAAATAATACAAAATACCATAATCCAATTCCATGCACTTGATATATTATCTCTCATATTAGTAATGCAAGTGATGAGAAACACAACATCATTTCAGCACTTTAAGGAACAACTGAATAAAAAACAAAGGAAGTTTCTGAACAGAAGAGAAACGAGATGTCTATTGAGAATGAGGCAATCTCAAAAACATTTTGCATGTGATGATAATAAACCCAATGCTTTTTCCACTAATAAAAACTAGGCCATTCAGAGCATAGCCTTATTTCCTAACTGAACTATCATGATTCTCTTTAAAAGACCAGTCACCATGCAACATTTCAGGATCAAGTATTCCATAGTATTATTATTCCTGTTTTGTTAATGCCAAAGAGAATAAAACTACAAATATAAACAACACATCACGTTATGCCTGACTTACACAACATACTTGCATTAATTACATTATGGTAGGACTTACACTCAATATAGGAACGTTCATGTAGGCTTGTATGATCAGTGTCTATGCTGTGTTGTGGTGAAGCGTAAATATCACCTACTGCACTTGTGCCATTTGGAGGGGACCTGAATAACAAATACAACTTTTAATTAACAGATATACCTGTTAAAATTATATCTCATTTTTCAATAAAGCTTACTAGGATGTGAGGTTCTCACATCAGTGACTATGAAGATGGCCGTCTTCTGGATGGTAGCACCATGTAGTCTAGTATAAATTTACCAATGTTTCAGAGGTCCTTACTATCTCCATCAACTATACTACATGGCCCTAAAACCCAGAAGACGGTCATCTGCATTAAATCGTATTCAGATTCTGCTTATAGCATTCAATGTTCTCTATGATCAAATAAAACTGACACATAAATTTTTATGCAATATTCTCATCTCTCCTATGCATGCTTCATGACCTTCCCATACCATCCTCCTTAATTATACTATCATCCTATTAAGATGAAGAATGTAGAACTTCCAGTTCTGAAGGAAATATTACTAGATTACAAGAAAAATGTGGATAAAGAAGTGTCCTGTAATTAGACTCCACGAGAAAGGAGCATAATGATAAAGGGAACATTATTATTTCTTCTGTTAATGGGAATTGGAGCTGGGAAACAAAAGGTATGTAGAAACAGAGAAATGTAAGATTGAAAGGAAAAATTAAACACCGTAATGTTGAAAAATTTAAAGGACTGAACACAGTAAAATGTGATAAAAATAAGGCAGATATCATAACTATGAAAAGCAATAGTATTAATAGATTTTAATAAATAACAGGGAACAAAAGAGACATTTAGAGGGAAGACAAAGAAGAAACATAGTGACAAATGTACCAAAAGAAGAATGAACAGAACATATCAGAACATGATAACAGTGTTGTAAAGGAAATTATATTTCAGAGTGTAATGTGCTGGTACTGAAAACAGTAGACTACTGACAATATGCATTAACTTAAGAATAAGTCAAAAACAAAATATTTTCAGCCTGAACAAACATAATCATTTATGTAGCTAAACAACGGTTTATTTTCAAAAAACAGACAGCAGCAGGGGAAAGGCTAGTCTACTGACTTACATACTGCCAGTGTCAGAGAGTCGATGTTGACTATGTGACTCTGGAGTTCCACCAAACATGTGCTGCCATTCCTCATTCATTGTTGTAAGGTGTGAGTCACTAGCAACCACTGAACGTCTTGTCCTTTGAACTTTTCTGTAACATCACATGGAAGTTCCTGGCTTGGTGTCCATCAAAATTTGTGGTCTAAAGCTGGTTATATTTTATTTACTATATTCTTTTACTACAAGATGATTTATAAAACAATAATATGTCTATAGATACATAGTGAAATACAGGGAATTCTGACTTTTTAATTTTGTTCTCTGGAAATCCTTTCTGATGTATCAGTAATGTGTAAATGAAATCTTTTCTACAAATAGACCAAAGGATGCAATTTTTATGCAGTATGGGAAAAGAACTGTTGAAAAACTGTGGAAATGAGAAGAACAGTAGGAATTAGACCTTGGAAATCAGAGGTAAAGAATTCAGTGGTATGGATTTCATCATGCAATGAAGGAATACAGGCTACCATGAATAACACTGACAGAGAAGATACTTACAAGGGAGAGAAGGAAATCGTATGCCGAGACTGTAAATACATTGAAAGAAATTATAAAAGTGAGATGAAATGAGAATGATTTAGGATAACCAAGAAGACTGGAAGAGGCTTCACTTGGAAATGAAGTTATCAGATGATGGCTGTGGTTTCTACCTTGCTACGTGGCAAACAATTGTGTATGGTTTTACCTGGCATGAATTAAAGAAGCCATATTATCTGGTTTAGAGAGAGGCTGAAGTACAATGGAATGGCACGGCACAGGGACTTTCAAACTGAGCAGGTCAATCTGAAACAAATGCAAAATGTAATCACAGACAATATAAAGTTTCAAATTCCTTTTTTCTATTCATTAACAGTTCTGTCGTACTGGGTTTCCCTGGTCAAAGGCAGTATTTCATCTAGTACCACACCTGTGGCTGTCTTTCTGCATTTAGCTGTGCACAAAATCTAATTACTGATGAGTAATGCTAACCATTATAATTGTACTACTGTGGACTCTCTTGTATTGATGGTGCTATCACTCACAAAAACTGTTTAAAAGAAAAAGAGGCTTATTTTTAAAGAAAAAATAAAAACATTCTTCCTGGAATTTAACCTGAAAGAATGAGGAAAATTACAAAACTAACTTCAGTCAGAACTAAGACCAGATCAAACTTGAATTAGATAACTTCAAAATTCAAACTATATCTCTTCACGTCTTCAATAATGTAACTAAAGTCGAAGGGCAGAGACCTTCTTGAGAAGCTAAAGTATGTTCAACTAGTCAAGGTATTCCCCACCTTTTAAGGAACCTGAGAGTACATTAACTGTGTTCACATGAGCCTGACACCTGTCCCTATCCTGAGCCAGATGAATCAAATCCACATCCCTAAACCCTATTTCCCAAATACATATTTTAAAATTACACTTTCATTTACATCTTGGTCTCCCAGGTACATTCTTCCCTCCAGGCTTTCAAACCAAAACTACTGTTTTATATTTATAAATTGTAGAAGAGCCACCATGTCTGGTAAGAGAAGTGAATGTGTTACTAAAAAGTTGGGTAGGTCTATTGTGTTAGAAGATAAGATGGACATAATTCATAGAATAGAAGGTGGTGATACCCGTCATAATGTGTGCAGAAGAATGAAGTTGCCTCCTTCGACTGTGACTACCATAATGAAAAATTCATATAAAATAAAACAGTCAATGCAACAGGCTACAAGAGTAAGTGCAATGCAAGTAAGTTATAGCAGAAGTAAACTTTTAGAAAGAATGGAGAAATTACTGTTGCTATGGGTGGATGACATGAATCGAAAAAACATTCCCGAATGAAATCGCTATCACGGATAAGGGGAAGTCAGTTTTTGAGGAACTTAAGTCGTCAATGTTTGGGTGCCGGGAACGCATGTCATTGACTTCCCATTGATTTACATTATAAAAAGAGTTTCAATTTATGCCAGTTCATCCAGGAATGCATCCCCAGCGTAAATCGAGGTTTACCTGTACTCTTAATTTCCTCATGAATGCCATTCTGATTTGCTTGTCATTCCCAGATATGTGAATATTGCCATATTTTCAAAGGATTTATTGGCTACCTTTATATGATGATTTTGTCCAGTAGCCTGGTGATGTGACATAAATATGTACATAATTCTCTCTGCATTTACTTCTACACCAGCTTCCTTACTAGCAACTACTATAACTTCTGTGTTTTTCTTAATGATAAGTCTTCACCCTGTAAATTAACACCATCAGCATAAACCACAAGCTGATGTGTCCTTTTCAGTTCCATTTGCTCTGTTTTATTGGGCATTCTTAATAGCATATTCTATGGCAAAGCTGAAAAGCAATAGTGATAAAGCATCTCCTTTTTCACCATTCTGAACAGGAAATGCAGTAGACAAATGTTGACCTACACAGACTTTACTATGGGTTTCACTTAACATATTTTAATCAGCTTAACTATTTTCAGTAATATACTGAATTCAATGAAAATGTTATATAATATGTCCATCCTAACTTAATCACAGGATATCCTGAAATCTACAAATAGTTGATGTTCAGCCCCATTGTATTCCCATTTCTTCTCCAGTACCAGAAAAATGCAGAATACCTGATCAATTGCATCAAATTCCACACTGATCATCCGCAATAATCATCTATGTATGGTGTTAACTTTTACTGAAGAATGTTGAATAACATTGTGTATGTAGCTGATAAGCAATATTCCACAGTAATTACTATTGTTAGTTTTCTTACCATTCTTATAAACTAGTACAAAGATTCCATGGTTGGAAGTTAGCAAAGTAAGTTTTATTAACAGTCTTCATTCAACAAAGGAAAGTGCAATATACCAGTCAACACACCTTGCCATCTGGCATCCTATTGGCAGCCTTATTTGTATCCGAGCCAATTCGATGACGATGAATTTTTTTTATGTGCCAGGACATGGACAGCAATTGTTCCTCCACAAAATCTGTCATGCCCTGAGAACTCAAACGACGGAATAACTGTAACAGAAAAATGACACGTATCCTCCCTGTAACAAACTCTTTATTTAGTAACACTCTGAACCTGCACATGATAACTACAAGCAAACTATAGACACCTGTCACAGACCAGCTGCTGAGAAATAGAGTTCTTGGTTTGACTGTACAGAAGATGCATGCCATTTTGGCTTTAATAATACAAATGGGATGTAATGTCAGGGACAGAATGACAGATTACTGGATCATTCTTGAACAGTCATAGTCACCAGTTTATAGTAACATGTCACAGAACTAATTTTTGTGTATAATGACATTCCTATGCTTTATGACAATATGTCAACCAATCAAGATTGACAAGAAATGTGACAGACTAGCTCAATGATGCCCATGCTAAATTTCACAATCTGTCTGTACATTTAGCTGTGGATTATTTGAGAGTATAGCTGAAAAAGTACAAGTAAAACATAACGCAGATTATGACAGTTGTACATGTGATACTGCCTCGCTAAGAAATGAGAAGGCACAATTTTTTCTCCTCTTCACTTTTATTTTATGATCTGCACACAAGAGCTATCAATTACTGGAAGACTGTCAGACAAAACTGAAAAAGGCATGGCAGAGAGCTTCAATAATAAAACATTAAAACTGAAATGGAGGGACATACAAGCTTCAGTGACAGGTAAATTGGCAGAAATTATTTTGAAAGAAAAGTGAAACCTGTATATATTTAAAAAATATAGTATTTTTTTAAAAAAAACAACAATCATTTTGAAAAATTTCAAGTTATTAAGAAGGATGAAAGTTCATAATTTTCAACCAAAAGTTTAAAATTGGGCCCTGTTCTGTGACAAATCAGTCCAGTTCATAAGTCATACAAATTTTAAAATTATCTTTCTACTCCAATTTTGGCCTTTCAAGTGACTTTTTCTCATTGAACCTACTTACAAGTTGACATGGTGTTACTGACTACTCAGATCAACATAGACATCTTCCAAACAAGATTAAGAGCTAATATTGATAGTTTCTATCATACATGTTATACATGTCAGGCGTAATCCCAATAATTTTAATTTATTACTCAAAGAATATTATGTTAGAATTACAAATTGCAGTGAAATAGCCATGTAGGGTTTCAGTAGAGGGAAATGAATGTAAACTATAACTGAAAAACTTTAAAATGGAAAAAGTTTTAAGAGGCATAACTGAACTAGGAACACTGTAACCTATCTGGCATAAGTAAAACACTATAACTGATAAATTCACATAAAAATTCATAGTTCATATCTAAGCACTAACTGTTACACTATAGTGACTCAGGTTTCTTCTTTTACTTTGGTCCATGTAATAACAAATTTCAGGGTACTCAGTGATCAAGCATGATCTGGTTCTAAATTCAACTCACATTTTTTAGTGCAGGGTGGGGATCAAAATTCTGGGGTACATGCCCTGCATCTACTAGTCCACGAGCTCGCTGACGTTCTTCTAGTGTTTCTAGAAGTGAGTCAATGTCTGAACATCGTATTACACTGTCAAACACCACTCGAGGTATATGTGGGACAAGAGCATTAAGAAGCAATTCCTGTAAAAAATAAATTAAGATGCAAAGTAGTGCCATTCTCTAACATCCACAATGGTGAAGAATGGCTGTTTAAATTAAGTGTGATCTACAGCAGGTGATAGTACTGGAAAGGACAGACAATTAACTTTCTGAACTTTAAACTGCAACCAAACTAAATTGCACAGTTTTAAATGTGAACAATTCATACAGCCCAAAGATTTGTATATCAGCTACAATATCATTACATGTGATAATATAACACTTATTTCTACTGTTAAGACCATGTTCACTAAATTATTCACAGAAAGAACTTCCATAATAGAACACATATTCCATGTGTTTACACAAGCTCTTCCTTCAAAATAAAACCAACACTGCTTCAGAACATGCAAGAACTGAGCTTCATTCTCATACTCACCTCCCTATAAGCCTGAATCACTTGGTGACGCAGATATGGCTGTATTGCCACCATCACCTTGCACTGCACATCCACTAGGTCCAGCACACGTGCCATTGAGCTCAGGAAGCCGACCACAGCCTGTGTACAAACAAACAGCTAGTCCTTCTGTGTTGGAACACATGCTGCCTTACCTCTGAAAAACTGTACCACATTCAATATTCAGCACAAAGACACAGGATACTTGGAGAAGTTATGCTCAAAACAAGCTCATGTACAGCATGGACTGTACATGCTGTCACCTAAGAGACAGGAAGGATAGAAGCAGTGTTATGTTGGTAAGATTGGTAATCTTTCAATGAATTTGATCCATAAGTAATGCAAATGATAAAAACAAATGTATTAATTAAAATTTCATGATACTTTACACACAATAAGTTTATGTTTTCAGTTGCCACTTTCAAGTAAGATACATTAACAGAAATATGGGAGATCAATTGGAATGATTCTAGCATGTGAACAGGTATGGCCAGGCAAATGTGGGGGACGATACTCCACACGTTTTCACAAGAGGACAAAAGTCCAGTTTCTAAAACACTGTGTTCTGTTCAGAATATTAGATGATGGAAAAAAGTCCAAAGTTCCAAAGCCAAAAAAGTAATAATAATAATCATCCTCAATGCCACAAAAATTTCAGATCTCACAGGTCCATTCTTGTCCATAACATATTTTGACATAAGTTATTTCAATAAAACTGACATTTGTAAGATACAAAATCAATGTCTTTATAAATGTCATCTATTAATAAAATTGTAAATCACTGTGTAATTCAACTGAAAATACATCACACAAATTACAAAGGAAAGCAGGCAAAATAAGTTCTTCCCAGAACTTAAAATCTTGTATTTATATTATAAAGCCCAGAAATAAAGACAGCTTCTGTCACCTAATAATTAAGCATTTATTGTGAAGGCAAAGCCATGTAGTTGTTATTAAAAGTAAGTAAGTCACAGCTTAAAGTCCAAAAAGGTACCTGTCGTATCCATAAGTTTGGATGAACCAAGTAGCATGCCACATCACGCAGGAGATCATACAAACTCAACTTCTGTAGGAGACCAGAAGCAGTAAGGGATGTCATAGCTTCTATCACTTTGACAACCACAAATTCCTCTGGATCTGTAAGACCCTGAAACAAAAACTGTAAACTGAACTCCTTATTACAATGAATGAAACTCAAGTGCATCATGTACTCCCATAAGGTACAATAAAATACAGAGAAATATGTGTTCTTGTTAATAATTCCCTTCCCATTGTTCAGACTCCAAAGGAATTTAGTTTAAGGGTTTGAATAAATGCTGCATGATTTTATTACAATGCTGTTCTGTAAAATGCAATTTGTACCGAAGACTTAAAACCTACACATTCAGATACTATGTGCAAGATGCCATTACCTGCTGCAACAGAGGTGTTAGTATGGATGATGAATGCCAACCCACATATGCCGTTACTCCAATGATGCACTTGAAGAATGAAGCCCGCAGCTGTTTATCCTCCTTATCATTAAGAAATGTGATCATATGAGACAACAATACATCATTAGCTGGAAAGAAGCACAGAACATAATACATTACAGACAACTTACTTCCCATGTTAAATTGCTCTTTTGGGCTTTTCCCCATCATCTAAATTATAAAATTAAAACATTGTGAGCTAGATTCTGCTTTTTTCATCAGGTGAATATAGGAGACATCATCTAATATTTTGTTTTTATTTTCTCAATTAACTATTGTATTATTTGTTTTGGTTTCAATACTTTTTTTACAAAAAGACTAGTGATTCTGAAACACCTTTCTGTTTGCCAAAGAACACACAGAGCTCTGTAATTCCATTTTCCACGAGTGTCTGTTTCACCAGGTTGCATGGATCAGTGAGGAGCATGGCAACTGCCTGCTGTATCATCTCATGCAATGTTTGCAGTTCTGACTCATAGCTTGGGGGAGGTCCTCCCCCATGATCTGTGACTTGCATCTTGGGATGACATTGGTCTAGATATCGCATTGCTGTCTTGGCCAGTCGGGAAATATTCTCTGCATATGCTGCCCGAACAACCATCGCCTCATCTGTTGTCACCTGAATCATGGCAAATGCATATACTGGACATTAACACAGTGGTATAAAATGTAGTTGATCAGTTAATCTATAGAGTGTACTGACATACTGCTAATGACTGCTGATAATTCTGCAGAAACCCTTCTATCAGAAGTTATTTTAAATTAGTACAATTGACCTGTTTAAATTACAACCACCTTCCAAAATGTGGAACATCTGATAGCACTTACCGCTGCAAGACCAGGCAACACATACTCAGGAAATATATTTGCATCACTGCAAGGAACAGACTTCACAAGTTCCAAGCAACTGGTGAGAGTATGTATTGCTCTCACACGAACACGAGGAAATGGATCATGAACCAGATGCATCTGGAAGAAGCAAGTCTTGCATGAAATGAGACTAAAATAAAAGTTCAATATCCTTTCTTAATGATTTTCAGCTTAAGCATTAACATCATTTTTCACACAGCACAATATTGCTTTAGTTTCTTGTTTCAGAATCTGAATTATATAGAAAGCAGTTTTCTTGCACTCATAGAAAATATTTAAACAGGCATGGACCTCAGCAAAATAATTAAAAGTGCATATATGTAACATGGCTGATATTTTTCATTACTGTTCTCCTGTAATGGCAAGTTTTCAGTGATTTTTTTACCTATAAACTGGAGAAAGGAGCAAAAGGCACAAAAGGGATAAAGGAAAGCTAGAAAGAGGATAAGAAAGTAACAAATCATTTCCCGCTAAATTTCAATGGACTTTTAGCAATATCTTCATTATTTTTATGACCACAATGTTGTTTCACATTCCACAAAAATCTATCTTAACAAAACTTGCAGAATTTTTAGTGATTTCTTACGACAAAGAATTTCTGGATCTCACATTATGTGGTGCTACTTCACCTCCCACTTCACATATCTATAAGGCCTTGTAGGTATTACTAATGGCAGGAATGTTCACACAAATTTTTACATTAATTTGTCAGTTGTTTCAAAAATTATGAAGGGGGAGAAACACATGAACAGGATGATCCTGTAAGTCTACTTTTCCTTACAAAATATGGAAAGCATGCTAATATGTATGTATGTCTCACTGAAGGCCACATCTTACGTAAACAGTTCAGCCAATCCACTGTGGCTTCTTACAGGAGTGGTCTGACTGTTTGGTGAGCACTTCTGCATAAAATGATTAATTCAGTGCTATAAGCAGAGGCTACTTACAACATATGGGAGGATGCGATCCAAGATTGTCTCAGAGGAAGTGTGCGCTGCTAATTCAAGCAACATGTCCAGACACTGTAGTTTGGATGTGCAGTAATGTAAACCTCTGAAACAGTAGAAACAATACTGCTGCAAACGGGATGGCAACTACATACTTCATGGCACAATTGTTTTTCAATAACAGGTTAAGATACAATAAAAACACTGATATTTATATTTTTATAAATACATGTGAACAGGATACAAGGAATTGTGGGAGTAAATTAAAGTGAGTGCTACGATTTTATATTGGTTTTACTAAAACAGTGCCAAGTCAACATAAGGCATTATCATATATTAGCTACACTCCTCCTACAGCTGAGTTTTTCCATCATTCTCCTCAGATACACCAGAAAATGCTGTCACAACATTTTAAATTAGACCATGACTGATACATTCCATATCCTTTCCAATTCATTATTCACTGATCATACTATTCTGTATTTCTGAAAGCATTATTAGATAAATCATAAATAAATTAACAAATTCACACAGTACCAATATATTCTAAGAGTACAGCAACAAACTAAAAAAAAGAGACTGAAAAACTGTGCAGCTGTGTGAAAATGTGAAAAGTATAGATCAAATTTTTGATAATGTAAATCTTAAGCTATGTAATTTTCAGGTAAACATATAATTAGAAAACATGGAATATAATTTAAAGTACAGAAATTAAATGATTGTTTATTTTTCAATATAATGTAATTCAAAGAAGAATGTTCAATTTAAATAGCTCAAGTCTAAAAGTTTAAATACTTCTACAAAACCTGACAAGCTGGATTTGCTCCAAATAAACATCTTACAGGACCTTACAAATAATTCACCTTATACAGGATGTAACCAAAGCAGTGATGATAACGAGACCATCAGCTTCTGTCTTCTCACCATGTTCACCATCTTCTTTACATTCCTTCTTTTCTCCATCGCCATTCCCAACACTCCCTTTCTTTTTGCTTGTGTCAGAACTGACTATCTGGATAATGTTCTGCATATCATTTCTCAGCCTATAGAACATCCAATAATCATGTAAGTCAGATGTGTACAAGACAAAGCAGTTATTGGCCATGACAGTATAAACATCAATGGCTCTAATATTTTTGTATTTGCATGTGATGACACCATGTCATGGTAGGCTTGTTTAGAGATGTTTAACCCTTATGCTGTGACAATCAACATCAGTTGAATGTCTATGCATTATGTTATACTAAATAATTCAACTTTAATTCACACCACAGAATAATCTGCTCTTGCTCCAACATTTGAATTCACACATTCTTGTTAGTCTGCAAAATGCTACCATACAGCATGAACAGTGTATATAAAGGTTGCAGGGCTGCCAAGATGTTCAGAGTTTTGTGTTTTAAATATGATTTTTACACCTATGACAATATTTCTCAATTTTAAGCACGTATAATACATAGTGTACATATATCATTGAGTACTTGACTAGTGTGATAAAAAATTTTGTGACTTTCATTCACATATGTACATAATAACACGACACTCACAATTAATTCAGATTTGTACCTTAAAATTACATTCTTTTAACAAAGCAATGGAAAAATAATGTGCAGCATAAGGGTTAAAGAATGCTGTTGTCTCCATCTTCAAGGGAAAGTAACAAATAGTGGCTTGTCACCAATATTCTATAGCTCCAGACCACAAGGCTGTGGGAAACTATACATTCTGATTGGTGGATGTAAGGCAGAAGAGAAGAAGAATATAACCCACTCTTTTCAGGGTTTTAAAACTGTCACACAAATCAGAACACTTCATGAAATGACCTGGGTTTCTTCACAACATAGTATGAAGGTGGATGATCACCATCATGTAAAATATAGCATAAAAATCCATGCAGCTTTGCTTTCATGCTCATTTCTCACCTTCATAACAAAGCACTCAAGGACATGAATTACTAATTTTTCATACTACCTTTCTTTAAATGAATTATGAACATATGAACTACACTAATGCTGCACAAAAGACGTATCTAGAGTACCTGGAAATCTTCTCATCAGGGGAGATTATAGGTGGAGCAGAGAACATGTGCATGTATGACTGCAGAAATGAGTAGAAGTACTCTGGAAAAACTCTTTTACGTTCTTGGGCTAGGTACGCTTCAGCAGACTGTCTGCAAGCTGGGTCCCGTTCAGACATGTTGCGAATCAATTCCTAAAAACATTACAATGTCTTTGTTAGCAACACTTTTAACACATGCACTGTCCTACTACAAAGGACATACGTACTTCTGATTCAAATGGTGTTTGCATAACAATCATGCCTTACTGCTAGCATGATTCTTTCTATCAAACATTATGATACACACTTTTAAAAAATTCAAGTACTCTTCCAGGTCATTTTCTCTGCACATTATATAAAGCAGGCAACAGATTATGAAATGCATGTTAGCAAGTATACTCCAAATTTAATCTGATCTTAATTTCTTTGTGAGCGCAACCATCATCAGTATGATGCGTGATGGTAAACTTCTACCAGACTACACAGCATTATAACCCAGAAGATAGCCTTCTTTGTACCCACTGCTATGGAGACCTCAAATCCTACAACACATATTTAGCAGAAATAAAGAGGAATCCCAAAGAAGGTTTCTAGCATGAAAGTACAAAGAAAATGCCGAAGAATTTGACCACAATCAAGATGCAAGCAATGGATTAGGAATGAGGCCACATAAATGGGAGGAACATGGCAAAAACCTGAGGAGGCACTGTGGGAAGACTTAATTGTTAGAAAACCAATCATCTTAGGAAGAAGCAGAAGAATACAACTTCCTGGAAAACTGTTCATTGTATTTATGTTCAATTTCATTACATATTTTACTACAAGTTACCAAGAAAAATATAAACCATTTATTTAAATGTGCAGTCAGTTTAAATAATTTACCCTTATATCTGGATCTTCCAAATTGTCTAGATGTTTAAAGTCATTGTCCTCACTGGAACAGTATGCTAACAGCTCTGAAAGATCAAATGGAGCATCATGCACTTCATTGAAAAGCTCGGTCAGAGCACAGCCAGCTGAGAAGATATCCATGGCTGGGGTGAGGTCTCCCTTGCGTAGGCTCTCTTCCGGCAATAACACTTGACTAGAACCATCTGGGTTTAGTGTCTGTATAAATCTACAACAAAAAATACATATGCTCCAGCATAACTGTACATACATACTGGAAATGATGTCCAGATCTATATGCTGGCAGAATATGTATACACTGTACTATTGTTTTTGCTAGAATGATTTCTTCCAAACTTCGGACACATTTTTATGTCACTTCCTGGCATTCTCCTCAAACACTGTGTTTGAAGATATCTAACAGCTGAACACAGCAGCTAACTATAATATGCACTGGACACTACACTGAATTCAGAAGTAGCCAAAACAAACCTCTCAGGAGCAATGTAACATGTCCGTCTCCGTGACGCATCAAAAAAGTATGAGTAGTCGCCAGGGTTGTCCTCGGGCAAGTATGTAGGTTTGAAAGAAGCGAAGTCTGCTAGTAGCACCCAATTCCATGATGTAATCAGAATGTTCTCAAGTTTGATGTCCCCATGGCATACCTGGAACACAAGAATATCTTTAATATTGTATGTAGTACATTTATAAAGTTCTGGAGATCAGACTGAAAGTATTGTGCACTGTGATTAGTACAATATGATTTGTCTGTCTAAAATACAAGAGTAGAAATAAGTACCTCAATCTGGAGTACAAAGTCTCCATACACATAGACTACAACTAAATACAACCTACCAATGAATTGAAACTGTTGAAGAGATACAAAATACAAATAGTATTACTTAACTTTGCTATTAAAACTATAGATGACTAATAATGAATAGTGTAGCTAGGTCAAAATATCTTGCAAACCAGAGACATAAATGACAACTGTACAGTAAAGATATGACAAAAGCATGTCACTTACCCCCACTTTGTGGCACTGGTGAAGAGCATATAAGACCTGGAATGCAATCCATCTCTTCTCAACGTCAGTCAGGAATGGGCGTGTACTGATACGGTCATATAAGCTATACTTGACATATTCACGCATGATAAATCCTGCTTTCTCTGTCAGCTGAAATTAAACAATGATGGAAAAATTCTTAGTAATAATGAACATTGTAGCATAAGGTGATATGAATGACATTATTTATAGTCACTAACACTCCTGATTTACATTATGGGGGTCATTATTTCAAACTTCAAATATTATAAAAATTTTGTATATAGCTTTTTTCTGCATACTGGGCAATAATTGGTCCTGAAAATATCTAGTGTCTGCTCACGAAGGGTTAACTGTTTTCTTGCTGGAATAGTTTCCCACAACAGAATGCTCATATGCAATTCTAATAATGTCTCAGCAGTGAAGTCAGCAAAGAGGGAACAAAAAATAAGTCTTACCACAGCTCTTTGAAAGGGGAGGCAGTTAACTGCTGATGCAAGCTTCTTGCGGATCTCTTCAACTTTCTCCTTGTGTGGTGTTAGTGGCAGTGTTGGGTCATGAATAGCGAACACTTTCACCACAATCAGACCCTCCTGTGTACGGGCTCTTGCCACTTTGAGGAATCGTGTACTGCCCAGACTGAAATATATCAATCAATGAAATTAATCTAACCAGTTTATAATCAGAAATAATTAAAGAGACACATGAAAAATCATTACACTAAAAAATAATAGAAAAAATAGATACTACCTTCAGTTCTGTAATATAATTTCACTTACTCCTTACAATCATGTCAGAAATTATGTAGATACAATCAAAAGAAGTTATAAAAATTTCTAACATAAATTTACATATGTAACAAATTTTACAGTGTATCCAAATGTTTTATTAACTTCTCACTATGCATTTAACTATAAAACAGTCATCATCAGATAAATATAAACACTAGTATATCATATTACACTTAACACACACACATTATACTTCAAACTATTACATAATGAAATAATTTAGTACTTAACTAAAGATATATGTTCTGAACTTTTAATAGTTTATAAATGTAAGGGTCTCAATTTGGGTCAAATTGCTGTTTATCATATCAACAGCTAAACAGCTACATTAAAAGCCAAAAGTGCACCTGACAATAATTTCAATTAATACCTACTGTGTAGGATATAACATGTATTTCAAAATAATCATATTACGTAAGACTTGAGGTTCTCACAGCGGTGAGTATGAAGATATCCGTCTTCTGGGTTATTGCGCTGTGTAGTCTGGTCGATGATCATATTACATTTGGCTCAGTGTTTTTCACATGTAACTATGCTCATTGCACCAGCTGACTTTTGGCAGAAAGCAAAGTTCAGTACTTCTAAACTTCAAATACCACCACTGAACACAAGTCTGAGCCAGTCCTAATAAATTTCTGACATCATAAACTTTTTTGTAAGTAAAATTTAAGGTTCTCACATTGGTGAAGATGTCAATGTTCTTCTCATTACTATTTGCTTCTGCTGCTGCCTAATAATTAAATTTTAAAAAAATTGCTAAACATTACCTGTAAACATTTCAGTATAATCTTTTTGGACTACTTACACACTCAACATTGTAGCTAAGTGGTTTGTACTCCAGCTTTGTTTTTTCGAGAAGGGGGTACCATGGTTCGAATATTAGCCTGGAGACCAGCTGTCCTGAGGTTCTTCATGATTTTCTTCAGTCCCTCCAGGCAAATGCCAATATAATGCCTTAAGTTAAGTCACATCGGTTTCCTCCCATATCCTTCCCAGGTAATTATTTAATCATTCAATGCTATATAGTAATAGCTACTAATAGCGTCGTTAAATAAACCATAAAAATAGATACAAGGTATAAGTACTTACAGAAATTTAAGAGTAAACAAAGAAAGAAAAGCTAGTACTTACTTTACATCGAATTGCAAATCTGCATGATCCGTCAAATAATGTTCAACGGGAAATATCTGAGATGGGGCTATACCAACCAGCTGATTCCCCATTTTCTTTAAATCGTCGTCTTGAACACTGACTTCTAGTTCTACTGCTAGCCATACATTATACCAACATACACCACAATAACTCAATAATATACGTTGGTAACGTATGCATCATATGACGTCTCGCGTATACCGTGCAAAACTGCTAATACCACAGTTAACACCAATTCTACTACTGCTATTATAAAAAGGATCTCGCGGTAACAGCTGGTTTTAAACCACACCGTTAACTGAGTCGGTAATAATGCTAACTACCATCCAACTTTCTCAATTGTCACAAATTACTAGACCAATGCCTAGAGCATGAAACTGGTTGAGAGTAGAGTAGAGTGTAGAGTAGAGTTTATTTACATTCCATAGACCTTCTTAGGACTCAACCAAAGGATGTAGAACATGTCATTTCATACAATATACATACACTTCAGAACTTTCAACACAACTTTCTACACAAGTACAAGAACGCATTTCACATATCAATGTACATAAATTTCAGATTCTGTAATACAAGTATGAAAAATAATTTTACAAATTAATATACATAAACCTCAGAATTTTAAATATAAATA